GTGCTCGCAGCCTCGTACCCAGCCCCTGGCCCCAGTAGGTCAGAAGAGTTGTGTTTTACAAGAGGAAATGGCAGAAACGTCGCAAAGCAACAGGCGCAGTAGCAGCGGGCGACATATGGAATAGTAATTACTCTGTAGGGAATTATGGATGGATGTGATGTCCTTATGTAATTGTAGCGCCACGACAAATCCAAGTCATTTACAGTGCCGCTCATTTCATCCACAAACTAATAGGTTTTCCTAATACATCATATATTATTGTGATCTAATTTTTAATGATATAATATAACATTGGACTGTTAAATAAGTTAAATTGCTAAACAGTGTGTTTGCTTATAAGCTTCTTTTAATTGTGATTCAAATTGAATTCATATTTTATTATATTTTACTTAGTGCTGGGCAAGTTAACGAGTTAATTTCGCGTTAACGCATTCATTAATTAACGCCGACAATTATTTTATCGCGCGTTAACGCATTTTTAAAATTTATTATAATTTATTTTTTTTTTTATTTATTTTTTTTTAATTAAAAGACAAGAGACAATACATATACATAACAACACGAGGATGACAAGAACAGTGGGATAAAAGCCAGCAAACATCCTATAGTCAGTAATTTTAGTGCACCTATATGCTGAAATTCACAGTAAACGCATTTAAATGACACAGATCGGGAGCAAGCGAAGGACTTTGAAAGTTAGCGGAAAGATTAACGTGAGACAACATCCGGTTTCTTCAGACGAACATCCGGTTTTCAGAATAAGATGCCAACAAAGTATGAATTATATTCACATTAAGTATAAAACATGCTACCTGCATCTCGTGAACCAAATGTTATTGCCCTTTTGTTCATATAGCAGTACTTTTAAAATAAAAGTGCGCAATACACTACTTTTGAATTCATTATTGAACTTTGCCATAACAATGCGATTAATCGCAAAAAATCCATCCGATTAATCGCGATTAAATATTTTAATCGTTGCCCAGCACTAATTTTACTATATTATTATATATACACTGTATATATATTTTTGTTTCCTGTTTTATATTTACATTGTAGCTTGGATGGAAATGGCGAAACTTGCTCAAATATTTGAGAGGCTTTTAGATGTTTTTAACTAAGAAATAAATGACTTAAGAATATAATTCTATGATATATAATATATATTTACAATTCCTCATTATTTCTCTGCAAGTTTTGTTTGTTCATTACATTTCAGGATATCTTTCCACATATTCTTGAAATAAGTTATTCATTGCTTTGTGTCAAGTGACACTGTCTGATGACACAGATTACACAATTGCTCTCATTCATTGATTTTGCCTCAGACAGTGAGGCTGAGACTGAGGTGAAGCAGATGAATATATCACTCCGATGATGTGAGCGCGGAGTCTTGTGAGCCGAGTGCCTCAGCATGACTCACCGCTGCTGATTGCTGACAGTTTATGTCATGGTTTTCCCCCCAGTTCAGCTGCGTGCGTTTTTCCATTTCGGTGACCTGCTGGAAAAACATCTGGACTCTCCAAAACCACGCTTCCCTTTTTGTTTGTTTAAATGAAACATTTCCCACGTTAGTGATGACACTTCTTGGATGACATTTTGAAAGATCGTAAAAGCCGACATCGTGCAATCTGGCCAAAATGACTGGAAACAAAGAACACGCATCAGGAAATTGTAGTAAATTCATCACGTTTCAAAATAGGGTCTTGAAATACAAGAATTCAAATCCTTGCCAAAAATGTGCTGAGTGGGGTATAAACGAGTTGTCGTGGGCAGAGCTGGGTAGGAGGGTCGGGCACAAGAAGCTGAAGGGGGAGGGAGAGGAGGGTGAACGTTAGGGAGCCCGCCACAGAAAGGGGTGGGTTGAAGGAGAGATTTAGTGTTGGGACAGGCACATGGTGGTTGGGGGTAGATGGAAAGAGAAAGGGGAAAGAAGGAGCCGTGGATCTGAGTTCAAACTGCAAGCTGTGCTCAGAGAGATAGCTGGAATGTGGCTCAGCGTGGGAATGAAGATGCTCTGACATGTTGAGAGACTCTTTTAAGTCTTGACGGATATATGAACCACTCTGGCTGTATGATGAAAATATCCCGTAAGTACACAACAATTTGTTCCCAGAAATAAACCATGGAGTTAGTTGATGGAGAGTAGACATTTTAAGGCCTGTGCGTCAATGATGATGATGATGATGATGGCTTGTGGTTATTCACCATAAACGTGAATGAATAAATCTGTTTTGTTTAGTTTTGTTTCCAAAAGTGCACTAAAGGAAGGGATTACTGTTAATCACAAAGCTTTGCTGTCAGACAGATACAGCTCAGGAGAAAACAAAGCATGCCATAAAATGCCTGGAAGTTTTTACCCATGCAGTTGGTTGTAAATATTTTGTGAGGGCGGAATGTGAACTACCTTTTAAAACTGTCATCATTTTGTCAGAGCTTGCGAGCGCTGTCCAAGTGTGCCGTATCTTTTCCTGCAGCACTTTGCAACATGCCACATCTCTGCAACGAATTGCACGGCCTAACGTTCTTGATAGTGAACGTAGCTTACAGTGAACTGTGCAGGAAGGAGTCGCCCCTTGCCACAGATACTTTAGTCGTACACAGCTTTTTGACATTCTGGGCCATTGTGTCACAGCCAAGCGGGGGTTTCATCTCTTTGTGCAACTGTAATTTTACACTGTGTACAGTGTAAAATTACAGTTGCACACAGTTGTACACAGTTTTAGTGCTGTGGGTTGTGGGGTAGCAAACACAAGTCCTCATTCTTTGGCATGATGCCCGACCCGGCCTTTTATACACAGGACATTTCCTTAGAGAGAGGATGAGAGGACAGAATGTCTCGGTATCGTGTTACAGAATGCCAAACAGAGAGGAATTCCCAGCTCATGTTACTTGCTCCCAGTGGTCCAACCTGCGTCTATGGGACACAAGAGGACCTTGCAGCACCCTCACTATGTGCTGCAGCTACATAATACTGATATTATCCACCTGGGAGGGAAGCCTATAGCTGCATGGAGAGCATTTAGCTCCTGGTGATACAGGTGGGAACAGGGCAGCAGCAGAGGCTCCTGGCAGCGTACACATGTTGACTCAACTGCTGGTTACGGGGGTAAACAGTAGAGCTTTTTTTTTTTTGCCATCCAAGGACACAGGGAACTGTTAATATTTATTCAGTTGTTGGTCAGCCTGAAGACCAAAGTCACTTTTCATTGATTTGTCTGCGACACAGACGTGAAGCAGCACAGGTGAGTCCTGAATAAACAGTGTTTTTGACCCAAAAAAACCAAAACAGGTGATAGCAGTATCTTCATTGCAAGGTTACAGTCACTGTAATTACACAGTATTGTGTGATGAATGGCCGCGGTTCATGTTTCAGCCGTAGTGTGACAGGCACAGACAGGGAGTGGAACAGAGACCTCAGATGTGTGATGGGAGAGCACCTTGTTACCCGTAGGTGCAGCTTAATGCGTAACTTCTCTTGGACGTGATGTTTAAATGCTCCTGGAATTTTTTAGCATTGTGGAAAACTGGCTAAATCACAGGTATGAGAATAAGAGGCAGCGGGAAATGAAGTAGTTGTCTGGCTTTTAAAGAAGCACTGGTACTCGTAACAATATTTTCGTGTTAGATTTGGCTTGGCTTTAAAAATATGTGTGTTAAATGATTGATGTCATTTGCCACATTGTGATTTCTAATTCTCAATAATGTTACTGACTCGGCAGAGTTAATGATGGAAATAACTGCTTGTGTAGTTTGCTACAGAATACTCTGTAGCAAACTACATAAAAAAATACTTTTTTTTCCCGATTATTAAAGTAGATGTTTTTTTTTTAGGGCTACAACCAACACTTGTTTTTTTTCATAATTTTATCTATCAGTTATTTCTTTCAATAAATTGATCAATTGTTTAAAACATCAGGAAATAGTAAAAAAAAGTCTTCAACTTTAGTTCATTATCATAGGACTGAGGAAAGCAGAACATATTCACATTTGTTACCAGAACAGGCATTTTTACTTTAAAAGAAATTACCAACACAATTAATCAATTATGAAAATTGTTCCGGATAATGTTCTGTTGATCAATTAATTGTTTTGGCTGTAATTGCTACGATAAAGTGAGTGAAAACTGTCTCCACATATATTTAAAGAGTAAATAAGACATGACTAGTGTCCAAATTTTAGGTGAAACTATTTTTAGTTTTGTTGATCCTGTTGTTTTATTTAGCTATTTGTTGAACATAATTACATATTTCCTTTTTTTTTTTATCGTAAAGCCGACTGTTTACTGTAGCACCGGTGTGGCAGACAGCATGTCTCACTGAGGCGGTAAATGGCACCCGACTCTATTAGCATTAATGGAAAGGTGCCAACGGTCTGTTTCCTCTGCTTGTCATCAGCGGCTCTGAAGCCTGCAGACGGCCAGCTCTGTCGGTCAGCAGGACCAGCTTGTGATCCTGACCGCCGGGCTTATATGTTTATCTGAGACGCGATATGATAGCTTTTTGTAGAATGTAAGGAGTCACGGGGGGCTGTGATAAAGGTAATGATTAAGCTGATCTGTAGATTTGTATCATTCTTTTCATTTTGTTGTTGTCCTGTGGTTTGTGCATGATTTTATTTCTGGCTCTATATGCAGTGTTTGAGACTGTTTTTTTTTCATATATTTTGCCTTCATTTAAAGTCTTCAGTTTCTTCTTATAACACACACGTTGACTTTGAAGTAAAGAAGACTGGCCATGGTTATATAAGGTCCCATGTTGTTTCATGTGAGTGAGCTGGGATACCTCCATCCAAGCAGACTGACCTGCAGGGTCGTCATCACATCTATGCTGTCTCAGAATAATCAGACAGTTTGACCATCATCCAGGTCTGTCCATCCTTAAAGTCTGTTGTGTTTGTAGGCTTCCAGGTGCTGAGGGTTTTTTTACGAAATAGACTTAATGTGGTTGAGTTTCACTTTTCCATCCCTGTTTTAACACGCACACTTTCTTATGTTTCAGAAATTGAGGCGAAAGAGGCGTGCGACTGGCTGCGGGCAGCAGGATTTCCCCAGTATGCTCAACTCTTTGAAGGTAATAAAAGCACTCAGTCTACTCCCACACACATTCATCACAAAGAGGGGGAGAAGTTGTTTGGTTAAAAGATAGAGATTAATGAAGTAGCACACCAATAAAAGGGCTCTGTGATAAACCACAAATAGCATTTTTATTTCAGCTTTTTATCTTTATTTTTTATATCTGTTGTGAAAGGAAACACTGTTAAAGCTTGAATGTAAGATAATGAGTGAATCCCGGTACACAGAGTCATCCAGTCAGTCGCCCTAGTCCTCAACACTTTACACAAAACCATGTATTCATCGGCTGCATAGTGCGCCTCATTTACACAACTGTCCTCAGGATGCCTCGGAGCTAGGGCTCCAGTCTGATCCCCAGACACCACAAAACAAGCGGAACATCGGCAGCTTTTAAAGTCTAATCTTGGCCAAGCTACGGTTACAATATAAACACGTCCTCTGTGCTTAAAGACTGAAGTCATGGGAAGAAATGGGTTTTATCTGAGCTCAAAGTAGCTCTACTCCCTCAGATCTTTGTGTCAAGGCCAGACTTTTCATGTGATCCGGAGCAATATATTTGTTTGCCGACAGTTTGAAGATAGTTGTAACAGAGCTCGAGCAATGTGCGCTGATAACGGCTGATGGAGTGCAGAGCAGATAACACGGGATCGTGTTTGAGAAAGAACATTAATGATGAAATCTGTTATTAGGACATAGTCATGTTTCAAAGCCTACAGTGTATCTGAATGTCTGCCTCTTAAAGAACAGGCCGAGCCTTGTTGAGCGTTCGCTGCTGCTTCTGCTTTTCATAAAAAGTTAACGACTTCACATGAATGCGGTGGAATGTTAGATTCAGAGGGTCTGGATTCGGTCTCTTAAGTTATGTAAGAGGGGGCCCATACCCAGAGAAAGACGTAATGCCTGCACAAGCCTGAGCGCTGTTATTTGGGCAAATTCTGCCTCTGCTCATTAGCATCACATACAAAAGTCTGATGGTCTCCCAGCGTTCAATGCACTTTTGGAAAGAATGTGCTTTCCAGATCTTTATTTCCATTCATTCACTCCATGGATGACACTTTCTCTAATGTCTGTTTGTTTGTTTTTTCTTCAGATTCCCAGTTTCCCATTGACATCACTCCTGTGAAAAGAGATCACGACTTTCTGGAGAAAGATCTCGTGGAACCTCTGTGCAGGTAACCAGATGTTTATGATGATTGACATTGAAAAAGAGAGCGGCTCGTCTATGAGTCAGTGCCACAAATCATTTCCTCGCCCCGAGGAAGAGGAACTACTATGTGAAAATCCCGACGTGATCTCGAGAGTGAAAACCAATCTCATCATGTTGAAAGCATACTCTCATATATTGGCTATAAAGAGTCTCGTGAGGATAAGAAGATTAACTGCAATTGCAGGAGCATTGGCATAAATCTTCTCTTAAAGATTTCTTTCTGACATAACTGCACGTGAAACACGTGTTTTTTCACACTTTGCCAGACAGTATTATGAATATAAAAGTGCACACTAATTGAACAACTGGTGGTTCTATATCGCCCCCTTGTAGGGGGCGAGACGGCTCGTGTACTTTTTTTCAAGCCAAGATGAAAACGGCACTTCAGTTACCACGGTAACCATGGCAACCATCCCGAGAGGCAGGCAGGCAGGAGCGCGAGGGTCGCCCCGCACGGCTCAATATACTGTGACTCTAAACAACCCTAAAGCAACTCATCTAAATTCCAAACTAGCCACGGGATAAATAGAAGACAATTGGAAACAGTTCCACCTCCAATGGGATTTTGCCCGCGACTTCCCGGCATCTCTATGGTAACATAAGGGCGTCTTTGTTGTTAGTTACGCCATTACAGTCTTTAGTGTGCGCAAAAATAAATACCACCCAACACATACTGTGGGTGTCTTTGAACTGAAAGTGAAAGATATCTCATGTATGCGAGTGCTCTCTCTCTGATCCCTGGCTGAGCAGCCTCCTATTTTAGCAACCGCATTCAAAGCTCTTTAGGCCTGTGGAATAAAGGGCCCCCCCCCAACTTAGAAATCCCGCTTTCCGTTGGGTCCCACTGTCTACAGTAACAACATGAGAACTTTGCGTGTGGCTAAACCCCTGTTGTCTACAGCACTGGGGGGTAGTTACAGCCTCCATCTGAGGCCATTCACTGTCACAAAAATACTGTCAATCTGTAAAAAAAAGACTGTTAGCAATATCTGGAGCTGGTAAAGCTTGTTATTATCATACCACAAGGGTTACTTTTTGTCTAAAGCCAAGTCACAGTGAGCTGGAGTGTATTTTGTAATGCCGTCATCTTTTCCCCCATGCTTTTGTTGGTTCATGTACATTTTTAGTTCTGTTCCTTTTATATATGTCCCAGTTTGCACACCCACAAACCCTCTAACCACCAAGCACATGCGCCAAGGCGTAGGCTGTAGGTTTGTTTCCAAATATTGAAAACATGACATTGCTTCCCTGACAACTGAGTTCAGGATTGAAACTGCATGTTTGTGTACGTCTTGTCTGACACAACTAAAATCAAAAAATCCCTCAAAATGATGAACGGATCAAACGATTAGCATGCCAAGTGCAAAATAGCATCGAAGACCGGTGCATCTGTAAGATCTTCAGAAAAATAGGCTGTGATTGGAACATAAATCTAGCTAATCCATTGGTTTACCTTCAATTTGCCCGTCTTCAAACTACTGCAAACCACTTTTCAAGCCGCAATCACTTAAATCCAATGTTGAGAGATAGCAGAGCAACCACCCATTACCGTTTTCATTAGGTTTAGGATACTGTGGAACGGACAAACTGAATTTTCCTGAGTCTGGTTGTACATCCAGAGCAGACGCTGATCTGGTTAACACTTAAATAGCAAACAGAATGAGATTTAGTTCTGAAGCGGTCATTAGGAAGCTATTCTGGTGTTCAGAACAGCTTTCATCCTCGGGCCATTCTACAGCTGGTACAAAACCCATATGTCACCTGTCTTATCCTTTGAATGATATTTTTTCCTATTTTTTTTGTTTCCATTTTAACTTGTATTGTTGTAATTCTCTGATTTATTTCATTACAGTCCTAAGATTTTTTTTATTCCTGTTTCAACCATGTAAAGTACTCTGCAAGTTTGTTTTGAAAGGCACAGCATCAATTAAGTTTATTATTATTATTATTTCTTTCAGGCGACTCAACACCTTGAACAAGTGTGCCTCTATGAAACTTGACGTGAACCTTCCCAAAAAGAAAGTAAGTGTGGACTATACATGACATGCTTTCATGTGAAAAGGATGCTCTTGTAGTTTTTAGCTTTTAAGGTGGATTTTTGTATGACAAGTGCAAACACTATACGCAATATGCATTTTGGAAAAACATACTCCCGCTAAAAAATACATATTTATAAAACACTGATGGTTCAGAAGGTAGGAAAAAAAATTCAGCGAAGAGAGTGGGTTCTATGCTTTCTCTCTGTGTTTAGACTGTTCTGAAATCAAGCACTGTGTATGTACCTCTGAGGGATTGTTGTGTTTTGTAACCTCCTATAAAACGTCAATGCCTTTGTAAAAAATGGTATTTTCTTACAAAGATTGCCTTAAGTTATGCACATACTCCCTGCACCAACGCAAATATAATGCGGGAATCTATTTTATTCCTTTAACCTAGATTCAATGCTATTTGAGATTGTACCATTGTTGTATTCATGCCTATTGAGTGGGATTGCTTGTTATCTGTTCCCAATTTGGAATGTAGCCTGCTGGCTTATAGGAATGATTTTTTTTCCTTTCTTGGTCTATTTTACGGAACAAGTCTTCAAGTCAAAGGAATCATTTGTCTGGTGTTATATCACCGTTGGCCGATTGTATAATGTTATTAATTTTGAGCAGACGCATCCTCTCGCTATTTCCTGCATTTCCTGTTTAACTGTTCCTTATGGCATAGAAGAGATGACTTGCGTGACGCTATATAGGCCTTACCTTGCAAGCCAGCTGTTGTTGTGAATGATTTTTCTACTCACAATACAAGGAGGACAAATGTACAACTTATCTTTTGTGGAAAAATTTGAAAATATGCAACAGCCGTAAAGTAATTTTTATGTCAATCTCAATCATTGTATGCCTGATCTTTTTTTAATTTAATTGTATTTATTATAATTTAATTGGGTAGTTATGAGGAGACCTATATAATATTATATAACATTCATTCCTACAAAGAAGATAAAAAATACCAAATTAATTCATATATGCCAGAGTAATTAATGTAGCATGATTTGTTTTTCCCCAGAGTGAAGACTCTGATGAAGAAGACCTGTTTGCTATCAGTGACAAATGGACTTTTGAGTGGAGCAGCCGGCGTTGGTCCAGGTTACAGGACATTGACTGTCTGCTGGGAAACCACGGAGAAGGTCAGCCCTCCAGGGACGACGTGCCTCTGAGAACCACCACCAGCAGCGAGAGTGTTCTGACGGACATCTCGGAGCCGGAGATCTCTTCTCTGCACAGTGAGAGCAGCGGGGGCAGCGGCCACAGGGGCCTCAGCACAGAGGACTCCGACTGCTCCAACCGCACCGGCTCCGATTCTGCTGCAATGCCAGACTCTACTTCGCTCACAATGCCCCACATCCACAAAGAAATTGCTCACTACAGCTCACTACCTGATAAGCACGGCACGACAAGCCGCATCCGTGCTAAAGACTTCCTGAAGCGCATGGAGACACTGCGCTCCCGAGGAACTCTGGGAAGGGGTCGCAAGACGTTGGTCATCGGCTCTCCGGTGCTTCAGCAGGAGGCCCGGGCGCTGAAGACGCTGCAATGTGTCGACATCATAAATGGAGATGGTGGGGCTCCAGAAATACCGTCCAACAAAGCTCTGCCGTCCCAGTCCGGTAGTGAGGGTAGCAGCCATTCTAGCGGCAGCGCTGTCAGCACCCCCAGCCTGAAAGAGCGTAAACCCCACCGGGCTGACCACAAGCGTAGCGGCATGTATTTAGAGGACGTAGACATCTTCTCAGGCACCCAAGTGAATGAAGTCGCAGAACAAAACCGCAGGAATGAATTCTGCTCCTATGAAGACCTGGTGGTCCACATTCCCAAAGACCACAAGCCAGGAACCTTCCCCAAAGCACTGTCCATAGAGAGCCTGTCCCCAACCAATGGGGCCTCTATCAACTGGCACACAGGCAGCATGCACTTGGACTCCCCACTGATTTCATGTAGGAAGGAATCCAGGCCTGTCACCCAGTGCTGCTCCAGAGGCAGCCGCATCAGTGTGTACGATAACGTCCCTGGCTCGCATCTGTACGCCAGCACTGGAGACCTGATAGACCTGGAGAAGGAGGACCTGTTCCCTCACCTGGATGATATCTTGCTGCATGTCAATGGTCTACAGCAGATAGTGGACCACTGGTCTAAGAATGTGTTGCCTGTCAATGAAGGGTTGGCGCAGCTGGACGGCGAGAGGGAACATACAGTAGGCCTTCAGTCCTCCAGTCAGATCACATTGGACTTTGAGGGAAATTCTGTCACAGAAAGCCAGACCACGCCTAGTTATGGGGACAGAGACAGAGTATCACTTGCAGAGACAGAATCCACAATCCTCAGGGAAAGGAGGGACTCTGGAGTAGGTGCTTCACTCACAAGACCTAATCGGTAAGACTCATGGAATCGTATTGCAAGTGCTGAACCCTCGTTTAAGTTATTCTATGAACAAAAAGAAAAATGAGATTTTTTCATTTCTTTGCTCATTCATCTTTTATGGCATTAGGTTACGATGGCCCAGCTTTCAGATAGCTAATCGCCTTAGTCACTCAGTGGCATCACTGCAGATCACCAACCAGTCAGCGGGCCAGCTGAGTTTGCTGCAGAGGTTTTCTTTGCTGCGCCTTACTGCAACCATGGAGAAGTACTCAATGTCCAACAAGCATGGCTGGACCTGGTAAGTCTAATTTTACCTTCCAAGATCCACTTGGGTTTCTTCATTAGTGAAGGCTCGTTTTATCTCTTTGAACTGATTTGGTATGTGACTATATTTGCTAAAATGATTATATGAGTACAGTTAATCTTTGTGTTTGTCCAGTATGGTATAAATAGGCCTTAATGAATTACTGTGGAGCACGGTGTCACAGATGTTGTGACGATGTCTCTCCTAGGTCAGTGCCAAAGTTTATGAAGAGAATGAAGGTACCAGACTATAAGGATAAGAATGTGTTCGGAGTGCCCCTGATAGTGCATGTGCAGCGTTCTGGACAGCCGTTGCCCCTCGGCCTGCAGCAGGCCCTGCGGTACCTGAGGAGCCAGTGTCTTGACCAGGTCAGCCTCAGTACGCAGACTCTCACGTTGCTTTTGACTTGCATTTTTACATGTGATGTAACCAATGGGTGGGTTTATCTAATGTTTATAATGTGGTGTCACATTTCTATGAACAATGATGGAAACAGGATGTAGGCAGATACAATGTATGTATAATAACTATACAGTGTAGATGCACATATTGCTGCCAGCTGTCATGTTAATAATATAACACTTCTGTTTTTCCTCCAGGTGGGTCTCTTTCGTAAATCAGGGGTGAAGTCTCGAATTCAAGCTCTCAGGCAGATGAATGAGAATTCTCCAGACAATGTGAACTATGAGGATCAGTCTGCCTATGATGTGGCTGACATGGTGAAGCAGTTCTTCAGAGATCTACCTGAGCCTCTGCTCACCAGCAAGCTGGGGGAGACCTTCCTCCATATCTACCAATGTAAGGACATGGCTCTTTGCTTGTCTTTTGTCCCATGGCGGGTTTTAATTTCTATTGTCTCAATTGGCTTTGTTTAAACTGGGATGGCACTGTGACATTGCACCTGAACTAACATAGAGTGCACGTGGCTGCATGAGGATGCAATTTCAAATCTAGTAAATGACCTTTGACATTTCATGATTGCTTTTCTGTGGAAATAATAGAAATCAATTCTCTATCATATGTGCAGATGTGCCGAAAGACCAAAGGTTGCAAGCTGTCCAGGCTGCCATCATGCTGATGTCAGATGAAAACCGAGAGGTGCTGCAGACTTTGCTCTGTTTCCTCAGCGATGTCACTTCTTCTGTGGAGGAGAACCAGATGACGCCCATGAACATCGCTGTGTGCCTGGCCCCCTCCCTCTTTCACCTCAACATACTCAAGAAAGACAATCTCTCGCCAAGGTACTTTTTTTTTTCTTCTCGGGTCTTCTTGTGTTAGTTAGCTTGATGTCTGTGATTTTGGGGCGGCAACATTGCCCGTCATTAACTAATGAGCAAGGCATGCATGCTTTCTATTAACTCCTGCATGATTAGCTTCCCTTATTACTCCATAAAATGGGTTACAGAGTTTTCTCATCCCTCAGGGGTGCAATATATTACTCTCTTTCTGGGCCACTTTTGAAAGGACATGGCATAAAGCTCAGTGTTTTATGAGATCATGCTGTGTACAAACAAAGCGAAGCTCTCTAATTTAGCGTGTTGAAATTGTTGCTAAAGGGATCAAAGGGGTTTCCTGCAGAGACGAGGAAGTGTTTATAGACTGTGTTTTGTGGAGACATTGACCTGGGAACTCTGCTGGCCTAATAAGTTTTCTCTCCCCACAATCCCCAGGGCCATGCAGAAGAAGTATGCCACTGGCAGACCAGACCAGAAGGATCTGAATGAAAACTTAGCAGCAACACAGGGTCTTGCTCATATGATCGTAGAGTGCAACCGTCTCTTTGAGGTACGAGAACCTGTAGTTGAGATGATGCAAGCATTTTAAGCCTGGACGCAATATCCACATGCCTCCCTTCTGTGTGAAGCTGCTGTGAATCTTACCTCATGCTTTTATGCACCCATAAGATCCCTCATGAGATGGTTACTCAGTCGCGTAATTCATACGTGGAGGCTGACTTGCATGCACCAACAATTGATGAGCTGTGCAAGCATCTGGAGGATGGCAATGGAATGTACCAAACTCACATGGAGGGGAGACTTCAGAGCCAGCTCAAAGAGGCCCGGGAGAAGTCCAAATACTGGGTGTCCTGCAGCAGCTCTGATAACACAGAGCTCTGTTACAAGAAGGTTGGTGTTCCTCCTTTGATTGTGGCGTTAGTTTGGGATTGCTTCATTTATGATAGTATATCAACTCCTAAGATGAAATACAAAAACATAAGTTAACTTGATGGTTTTTGTGTGGCCCGTCCAGGTGGGAGATGGGAACCCTTTGAGACGCTGGCGAGTGTCCGTGGAGGTGGAAGCCCCACCGTCTGTAGTCTTGAACCGTGTGCTACGAGAGCGCCACCTGTGGGATGTGGACCTGCTGCAGTGGAAAGTGTGTGAGACACTGGACAAGCAGACCGAGGTGTTTCAGTACGTCCTCAATCGCATGCCCCCTCATCCCAGCAGGGACTTTGTAGTACTCAGGTGAGTGGTGATACAAAGAAAACACTCAGCAACATGTTGTCCTTTGTTTGGAAGTAGCCATGATGTATTATTTATTAGGATACATACTCAAACTCTTTCTGTTTATTCAAGAACATGGAGGACCGACTTGCCCAAAGGCACCTGCTCCCTGGTTTCTGTGTCAATAGAGTATGAGGATTGTCCTCCTGTTGGAGGGGTACGAGCTATAGTCCTGGAGTCCAACTACCTGCTGGAGCCCTGCGGCTCAGGAAAGTCCAGACTAACTCACATCTGCAGAGTGGACTTGAAGTAAGTCCCACAAAAATCTTATTAAATCTCTTTTCTCACTAAACTCTTCTGGCATTATTTCTTATACTCATAAAATACATCAAAACATTTTTACGTGTGATATTATTAGCATTTTAAGATGAGTATTTGAAGCTCCTTGTACGTGCCTGTAGGCTGTAGGATATTGATTATACTGTTCTGATTTCAGGGGAAGGACTCCAGACTGGTACAACAAAGCCTTTGGTCACCTTTGTGCCGCAGAAGCTGCCCGGATACGCAACTCCTTTCAGCCACTAATCACAGACGGCCCAGAGACCAAAATCTGAACTGTTTGCCAATTGTGTCTGCTCAGCCTTGAGATCAAGATTGAGCCTTTGAGTCATTGCTAACAGGCAGACACAAAGCATAGACAAGACCCCGCAACTAAAGCACAGTTTGAAACGTTTTTTTTTTTCCATAGTATAAATGCTCTGAAAATGATGTTGAGCTCCTCTGTACTTGCACAATGACAAAAGAGGACATCTTATAGGTGCTGAGCATAATTACCCAGCGGGAAATTAATCATCCTGCCAATGTCCTTAGCCGTAGTATTCTATTTACCATTATGTTGCTAAACCTGTATGTTATAATTATTATCTTTAATAATATTGTATTACTGTTACTTTAATCTACAATGTCTAGGACATTCAAGTTCTTAAACGCTTCTGGGAAGCATGTATATGTTATTCATTTCAGATTTAAAGCTATAATTATTATGATGTAGACTCTGTATATATGTGTGTGAATATACTGTACATCTAAGCAAGATGTATATATTGTATATATGTCAAGGGATGAATAGTACATATGTTAATATCCTATATATTGATTATTTCACTGTGTCAACCCTTCTGTACTAGTACACATGGTACAAAATTGTAAGCTGGTTTTACTTTGCTCCAGTATTGCCATCTTGGAATGGGTGTAATTTTATTCAACTTTGACCTCCTATGGTTGTGAAAAGAATGACTTAAGGTTTGACTTGATCATACCTGCTTAAGGGTACTGGATTGTGCAGTAAAGGACAGGAGACATCATTTTTTAAATAAAACTATCACAATCATAAAATGTTTGTACGCAGTGATTCTTCATCTCGTTGCCACATCAAAAAGACAATTTTAAGAAATGATGGACGTCTACTGACCTGTGAAGGAGTTGTGACGACCCTGCTCCCCCTCTACACTTGGTGCCCCTGCTGCCTGTGGTTGTCTTTTGCATGTGCTCATTGGATGCTCAACAGCTGGATGATGAGCCGACTGACAACTGATGCCTACACTTTGCATTGTTTCATTTATGTTTGTGGCAAAAATAATTGCTTTTTTTCCAGCAGCCAGCTGGCTTGTCTCCATGTTTTGTTGCAGTGTCTGAGCTGGTCAGCGACAGAGTCTACATCCTGTTGTACCTGTTATGGACAATTGATATTAAACAGTGTCAGTAATGCTTTTGTGAACATGTTGACATTCAACAATCATGTACAGTATATATATGTAGGACTACTGACAAACAATTCTCCCTGATCTGGGATGAGAGGGACCTCTACTGGACATTTAAAGGAAATACATGACTGCAGTCCACATGGATGATGGACTTGGACATGGACACCTTATTGGAGCTTGCAACTCATTTTTTAATGCAGACATAACAGTGATTCAACAGTAAAATCTAATGCAGACTGTAATCAGTTGTGGCCTGCCTTTCCTTACAGATTGTGTGGGCAGAACACATAAACCTGGTTGATTGTCATTTCTGTCCACTAGATGGCCCTTTCTGATCAGCAGAATGTTAATCTTTACTGTGGTCACATTTTATTTCCCCCTGAGGCACATTTCAATGAAGTCCACGTTTTTTCAGCTATTTTCAACAGGTAGTGAGAGTGGGAAGATAGCTATCCACTGCAAAGATGGGAAGTGTTCATGTCATGAATGGACTAATGGAGCAACTACAGTAATTGTTTCAGTGTTTAAGGATGCCATGAAAAATCTTTACCCATCCTGTATTAAAATAAATTTTGCTTGATGAATGAAAAATTCTCACATGTGGTATCTATTTATCTTACTAAGGTGAAATTGGAGGTTGTGGCAGTTCAGACATGATGGAAGTATACAAGTATTTACCCAAACAATCATAACATGAACGTTACAGGTTATTGAGTCTGGATCTGCTTCAGTTCCCTAATATGCTGTTATTGAACTCTACCTCTAAGTCATTTGCTGATCCAAAGATATAGCACTCTGAAAAAAAGACAAACATTTAGAATAGAAGATAAAACCACAGTGGGATAAAAAAAAAAACATCGCAATATAATAATAATAACTTTATTGATATTGCAACAAAGCTACAAAGTGCTTAAAAATAAAAACATGATAAAAGTAATTAAGATCCAGAATGTAAGAAGTAAACCTGATTCAATCATTTCAATAGTTACAACAATAAACAAGAGATAATTATATTCAATTTAAATAGAAGCTAAATAATAATTTGCTCTGCATTGCACTGCCACAAATTAAATCAAGTTTTAAAAGTGCACAGTAATGATAATGATAGGTACAGCTGTATGGAGGCGAACATTACGTCTACCTCTTTTGAAGCCCTGCTGACACAGATCAGCTTAGTGAGGTCATGAAATGCAAGCTCAGCTTCTGGCTGTCAGTCAGGCCGATGGACAGGATTGTTGCCAAGCTGTCAGTGTCAGTCTCTTTTATATAACCACGGGAACCTGGTGGCTTTTTTTTGGTCATTATTATTTGTTATTGCATACAATTGTCCATATGACTTTGGGCAAATCAAAATTGGCCACACATGAGCTATTGGAGAAGCCACTCCTCATGATTGTCTCAAAAAACATTCAAGACAAAAGGCAGTAAAATACCAGTACAACATTTTGTTCTTTTACAATACAATGCAATGAATCTACATGCAAGTATTTTCCTCATTGAAAAGGAAAAAAACACATTATTCAAATAAATAATGCACTTGAAAACAAACATTGTATTAATATAATTACGTAAATGGAAACATGCGTGTTTAACAGTGATGGATGGAAACCAGAATCTTCTACAAAATGTTCAGCAATAAACCATGCAATTCATGAATTTTCACCAATGCCGGTAAATGCTTGAATTCTGTCTGTAATTACCAATTCAATGTAATGTGTCAACAAGCAGAGCAACTCATCAGGATCATTAAGAGAAAACTTGACCAAGGGAATACATCTCTCTGTAATAGGATTCCTTGTATTGCTTTGCATATGACTATCCCCGGCAACATTTGTGCCTCACAGACTGATCAATAGACTGTACACACCTGGAGAGCAAACTGTAATGAAACTAGAACACATTTATGAGATGTGAAGAAAAGAAGACACTGTAGGATAATAATAATCATAACAACGTCCTGAATGGCTCAGTGTCTGCAGAAAGGTATCTTAATTATATAATAACCTTTAAGTATAAAAGCAATAGTTAATAATATTTACCATCAAAACTTAATATCTCAAAACTTCTTATCTTAAAATGTATAACACCTCAAGCATAGCACCAACAGCTCTAACGCACTGATAGGCATAATTAATCATATTAATCTCTCCATTTATGTGTGCCAGCTCACAACTGGGACACCAAAATGGAGCAAAGTCATAATTAATAATATTTGGTGCACCTGTGCATTTCCTGCGCAGCCAAACTACAGGTAACTATAAACATTTCTCATTTTCTAAAGATTTTTTTTATTAAGCCAATTTTTGTATTACTTTAACTCCAAATTATTTTCCATTTATACAATATTGTTTATTCTTACAGGTATGAGCAACAGCAGGTAAAAGGTAGCTATGCAGGTAACTTCCGGCTGTCGTTTCTGTTACCGCTCAACAACGTGCCAGCGGCTCACTATCGATGAAACAGTGCAAACTAAATGCGAAAATGCTGAGCGAGCTAACAGTGTTAACCTGAGGGGGAACCCTGGGAAGTGTGTGTACGGTTCCGCAGCGATGCTGCCGGTCGGAACGTCATTATCAGCTGTAACCGCCGTATGAAACCGATGCAAAGCAGAAGGCCCGAGCTAACCCTCAATGCACTAAAAGCACACGCGGCTAGCCCGACAACTACACAGGGAAAGCGCCTTATTTCTCTGCTCAGGTGGACAACACTCCACTATGTCTTTACTTGTTTGCTGCCATATTCATGTTCAGAATGTTAAATTCAGCTCCTATAAAGTTTGTTTCGGAATGAAGCTAAATTCCCATGCTGTAGCTAAGTACGCATTATGCGGAATATTGCTCGTTTTAGTTTAACTTGCAGCCGGATTGGCTTAATTGACAGACAGACAGGACTTGTGACATGGCTGTGGATGGCAGCATAATCTTTTTTTGTTTTTGTTTTTTTATTCGGCCAGCATGCTGGACTCTCCACGAAGCACTCCGCCCTTCGGCTGCTTCGCCACCTGCCAGGTGGACAGAGCTCTCCAGCTCCATCACTGCAGCCAGCGCACGCGTGGTGAGTGGAACCGCAGGCAGGGGGCGGCAACATGGCGGTGACAGCGGCACAGACGTGGGAGACACGCATTTAAGAGAGCGGCACTCTCTCACATACACACACACACAGCTTTGTGCACACATCGCTGGTCGCTCTGCTCAGTTAACAAAACACACCGGACTCTCTCACCGGAACTCTCGGGAGTGGATTTTACTGACAGAGAGTGATTTCTTGTTTGTGTTTTCTGTTCGCGAGTGTTCTCCTCTCTCATTTATTCTTATTTTTTTTAAATTTTTTGGTGCTCCAGAGCTGTGATTGGATTTATTGCCAGGAGAAAGCGTGTAACTGGAGTCTGAAGCCGCCCGGTCCGGGTGGAAATGACAAGCGAGAGACCGGTGACAATGCCGGGCTCGATGTCGCTCTCGGACCGACATCCTCCTCCCGGTCAGAGGCAACTCGCGGCTGCAGTCTCCGCTGCCGCCGGTGAGACAACGATGATGTCCGGCTCAGGTTCAATGGTGTTCCCGGCTGGGATTATCAATCCATCGGTCCCGATCCGGAATATCCGAATGAAATTTGCTGTTGTCATCGGACTGATCCAGGTTGGAGAGGTTAACAACCGGGATATTGTTGAAACGGTGCTGAATTTGGTAAGTAAACGTGTTTCCCCTCCTCTCACTCTATGATACCTTATTGCTTTATTCCTAACCCGGAGTGCTGTTCAATGGCAACAATAACTGACATAATGGCAACATTGTGCTATTTTGACGCCGAGGCTGTACAAATGATTATCAATTGTTTTGCCGTACTGATATAAGTGCCCCGGAACATTTGAGTGACCAGCAGTATTCAAAAGTCCCACATGCACACTGTAACGAGGTGGTTTGAGGGATGAGGGGATGCTAATGCAAAGCCAGGGGTGAAGTTTTCAAGTTCAACAAAGTCCCAACTTCCTTGTAAATGAGGCACACCGGTGTGGATGATGTCAGTGAGGGGAGAAGTGCACACCTGCTTGTATTGGAGTGTTTTGTGAGTACTTATAGTTTATCTGTTGGGCCATAATTACATTCAAACTGTATTTATGTTGAAACACATGCTGCTGCTGCTGTGTGTGGGAGCGTGTTGTAAAGACGACGAGTATTGTTGCTGGACCTTCTCCTAACTCGAGTATGAGTATGCGTGGCCATCACCCTCTTCCCTGATTCATATTGACTCAATAACGTGTATATCTTGTGTGAAGCTATGCCTTTTCTCCACTTTCCAAACAAGCATGGGGAGTGTTTGAACTGATGGTGTGACCAGCGCCTGCAGCCGACTGATATGCCGACACTGTAGAGCCAGCTCACGCCATTTGCCTTGACCATCTGCAGGAATGCCACACCATACAGAGCCTGTTTGCAATAGTCGGCCTCCCCTTGTTGGCACACCAGAGATTAATTATGACCTGTTCTGGCACAACAGAAATCCACTCTGTGGAGCAAGACAAATTGTAGCCTTTGGCATGTTCGGACACGAGTTGTACTGCAATAGCTGGAGTCTGTGACACCTTGCCCCCTCTCCCTGTGCAGTGCTATGGTCACAGACAAATGCTCACAAGAAATAAGCCACTGTAGTCGCCACTGTTTTTTTACAACACGTATTGTCAAGACGGTGCACCATCTTGTTTATGAAATATAATATAATTTCTCCATTTCACTTTATTCATTGAAGGCAGATGAGTGATGTCACAGCTGCCTTTTACTCCTCCTTTTAAATTTCAAAGTCATTTATGCATGCTCTTATTTATAACGTGCACTTTATCCAAACATGTGTCGGTCACATACAGGTGGCAAACATTTGAATGACAGATATCATTAAGAGGCTATTTGTGCTTTGCTGTGGTTAGCTATTTGAGATATCGGGCACATTTGATTCTGCCAGATGTTTGTAAACAGAAACACAATTTGCACCCAAATTATGTGCATACAAATGAACCACATATAATCCAGCTGTCTCGGGACCAGTCACCAGATGACACAGTAATTGTTGTTATATCTGCCTCTTCATCTACATCGCAAAATGTGCATGAATAATACTAGCCAGGGAAGAGGGCAGAGAAAGCTGTCACGCAAAACAACCCTGCTGTCTGTAAAATGCCTCGACTACAGCAATTTCTATGCTTATAAGTTTCAGGTTATTTTTGAAGTGTAGAGAGGGCCCGACGATCCAGAAGGATCCGTAACTGCATCTCGTGGGGTCCAATTTGCGGAGTAATGGAAAAATGTTTTCCTCCTTCTCTCAGGTGCGTCTTGGAAACATTGTAGTTAGATGTTCAGACCAGGATCCTCCATGAAACAGTATCTTTTTAAAATGTTATTGAGCTGCAGTTGTTGTTGGTTAACTGGCCTGTAGTTTTAGAGATTTGACATCAGGCATGTCATTTGATTTATGAAAAGTGAATCTTAATTGAATCAGACACAAAACTCCCTCAGATAGAACCACAGCTCTGTGCTTCGCTCTGTGCTAGTTTTTTATTTTTTTTTATTTTTTTTTTTTTTTTTTTCTAATCTGAATGAAATGAACTAATTCATTCACTGCTTTGTTCCTGTTCAGGGTCTTGGGGATCTTTAGACTTTCCAAACTCATTACGAGCAGGAGTCAAAATACTCTGGACAGTTTGTTTGTTTATAGACCAAGTTTGCATACACACACATAACAAAAGTAATCCTCATAATATATTATCATCACTTCATTTCAATATTATAATATCAAGGGAATAACGTGTCGTCTTCGGCTTGAAATGTCCCCACAAAGTAGTCGGCAACAGTAATCGACTTACTTGGTCGAAATAGGATAGCGTGTATGATAACCGAGTTATACTATTAAATGTATACAAAATCTTGTCCCTAAGGTGTGAAGGTTTGTTTGTCTTTTCAGCTGGATCATCAGCTGCACATGTGAGGCTTTAGAGCTCTGAACCGAAATAGAAGTCTTGCACCTAATCACATTTGGTACAAGCAACACGCCGTGGCGTGTTATCTTCTAACCATGAAGTGGATTTGTCTCGTGCCCAGATGTGCAATTTACAGTAGTCACCCCCCCTCTGCGAGCCGTCAGCTGACTCGCTGCTTCCTCCGAGATGAGGAAATGGGAGTGGATATTTCTACTTAGCTAATTGTCACTTTGTATGAATCATTCAATGAACTTCTCTGACAAAAGAGAACGTCGCCTTACTCCACAGCCCTCATCTTCATGATCAAAGTCAAGTGTGATCTGATGGATAACGGAGAGAGACATGTGAATAGAAGACAGTGTGACCTATAAAATTAAGAAAAGCTTTCACAGCACATCTCCATCTTGATCCTGACATGTGGGAGTAACACACTTGGTGCTGTCAGTAACTGGCTGTTTACACAAAGGAAATGCTGTCATGTCAGGTCCGTCATCACCGAGCTTATTTCAGCCTCCTTAACCTGATGCTTCATGGACATTCTGTTCTTTCAGTATCAACGTCACCTCTAGGAGGTGTGTGTTAGAAGCGGTGGACTCCTTCATAAAGAACAGGAGCTGGTCTACTTGAATTGTATACCAGTTGCATGGATTCTAGTGGTTGCAATGTTTGCATGGTTGAAAAAAGAAAAAAAGGATCAAACCACTCCTACATTATCGAATTATCCATTCGTTCACTTGTGCTCCACATGTTCATATTTTACCCAATCTGTCAAAATATGGCATAATACAGTTTGTTTGTTGCTCCTGCACTTAGCTGATTATGTTGTCTGTTTGCGACTACATTTGCTTATGTGTCTCAAGGGACTGTGTGAGAAAAGCTACAAACGGGTACAGTGTGCAGTGTTTGAGAATATGAATCTGGATACCGAGCAGGTAAAAGGGAAAAGATTGTGCTGCAGAAGTGGACTGATAAATGTCTACATTATTGGTGTTGGTATGTATGTATGTATAAAAAAAACCTGCCAAATGGTTACAGTTGATGCTGTTACTTGCTCAGTCCTTACTATACAGAGGCCCACTTATTGCTCATTTTGATATAACTTTAAATTGCCTGTCTGGATATGAGATACTTTCAATGATAAATGCACAGATTGTCGGTCTTGTATATGCCCTCACTGCTTTGTTTGAGTTGAGATATATATATATA